TCTATTAATGTGCTTTGATACAGCACTTTGGGAACATCCAACTTCTTTTGCAATTACCTTTTGAGGCTTTCCCTCCTCATGGAGGGTGTCAATGATGGTTTTCTGTACAACTGTCAGGTCAGCAGTCTTTCCCATGATTGTGATTCCTACTGAACCAGACTGAGAGACCATTTAAAGGCTCAGGAACCCTTTGCAGGTGTTATGGTTTAATTAGCTGATTAGAGTGGGACACTTTGAGCCGAGAATATTGCACCTTTTCACAATATTCTCATTTTCTGAGATTGTGGATTTGGGGTTTTCATGAGCTGTAAGCCATAATCATCATAATTATGACAAATCACGGCTTGAACTATCTTGCTTTGCATGTAATGAGTCTATCTCATATATTAGTTTCACCTTTTGAGTTGCATTACTGAAATAAATGAACTTTTGCACGATATTCTAATTTTTTGAGTTTCACCTGTAAATAAAACAAATGACAGCTGGAGAATGAAAGTGAATCTGACCAGTAGATAAGGGACAATATGGACAGTTTTTATTTATTCATTTATTTCAGGTACTTATATAGTGCCATCAATTTATGCAGCGCTTTACATATATATTGTACATTCACATCAGTCCCTAACCCTAAGGTCCCTAACCTAACGTACATTTATACATACACATACTAGGGCCAATCTAGACAGGATCCAATTAACCTACTGGCATGTCTTTGGAGTGTGGGAAGAAACTGGAGTTCCCCTAGGAAACCCACGCAGGCACAGGGAGAACGTGCAAACTTAAGGAAGGTGGTGCCATGGCTGAGATTTGAACCAATGACCCTAGTACTTACTGCCAGGCGGAGGTGCTAACCATTTAGCCACTGTGCTGCCCTATTGAGTGTGCATAATAATTCTAATTATCATCAGTTCACTAGATGGACAGCATTCATTGTTTCATTTCATGATAATTTTTATTGGAACTCAGTTATCACCATCCTGATGCTACTATTACATTTCTAATAAGTAATAAGTATACACTAAATATAGTATTCTCACAGTAAATTCATGTGGTATTGCTATTGGTGAAAAAGAAAATCAAATTTTCAATAGCAAAAGCAATACACCTATAAAATAACTGCTTGCAATTAACTTTAGTGAATTTAAAGTTTAGACAAAATTAACTGTTGACATTTTTTTTTTCAGAAATGTATTTTAAACCACTTGCCCTGCAGAGGATTTACCCCCTTCCTGACCAGGCCATTTTTTGCGATACGGCGCTGTGTTATTTTAACTGACAACTGTGTGGTCATACATCACTGTACCCAAATGAAATGTACCGTATTTATTCGAGTATAACGCGCACACGTGCATAATGCGCACCCCTAATTTTCGATTAAAAATCGGTATAAATTTTTGTTTCACTTTTTGAAGAACCAAAAATATGAAGAACACTGAATTGTGCAAAACAGCAAAACAGCAATGCTTACCGTAACGTGTGGGCAAGGCGAGGAAAGGAAATGAAGAGGCGACCATATGTTACAGCGGATAAGAATTCTCACCCCCAGTGTATCTCGCCAGTTCGGGCCGCCCACTGTACGCGACAAGGGGACATAGAAAAAAAAAAAACCGATCCCCTGTTTTCGCCCGGCACAGGGGACTTTTTTTTCTTCGCCCTCGTGTACAGTGAGCGCCTGCGCCCTCAATGGACCGGCCGCCACTGCGTCACCCCACCATGCATCTCGCCAGTTCGGGCCGCCCACTGTACGCGACGAGGGGACGTAGAAAAAAAAAAAAACGATCCCCTGTTTTCGCCGCCCTTAAAGGGGCGGGGCCGGCACAGGGGTAAAGTTTTTTTTTCTTCGCCCTCGCGTACAGTGAGCGCCTGCGCCCTCAATGGATCGGCCGCCACTGCGTCACCCCACCCCAGCCCTCGTTTATAACGCGCACCCAAACTTTGATTTCTTTTTTTGGTAGAAAATTTTGCGCGTTATACTCGAATAAATACGGTATGTTCTTTTTTTTTCCTCACAAATTGAGCTTTCCTTCAGTGGTATTTGATCGCCAGTGCGTTTTTAATTTTTAGTGCTATAAACAAAAAAGGGCGACAATTTTGAAGACAAAACTATATTTTTGAACTTTTTGCTATAAAACAAATCCAGTAAAAAAAAATAAAAAAATCTAATTTCATCATTAATTTAAGCCAAAATGTTTTCTGTTTTCTGCTAAACACAATCCCAATCCATGTAAATTAATTGGTTTATGTGAAAGTTATAGTATCTACAAATGGCGGTATATATATTGGAATTTTATATATATATATATATTTATATATATATATATATATATATATATATATACTAAATAATGGCAGTAATCAGCGACTTATAGCGGGTCTGCGGGACTGTGGTGGGCATTCTGACACGTGGGGGGGAACTGACTAACTGCCACTGACATCCCAATGACACTAATACAGTGATCAGTGCTAATAAAAAGTACTGACACTGTACTAATGACACTGGGCAGGAAGAGGTTAACGTCTGGGGCGATCAAAGGATTAACTGTGTGCTGTTTAACTATGTGTGCTGTGTGTGTTTTACTAGGGAAACATGTTGCTTTGTATTGCCTGCTCTGCACAGCAATACAAAGCAGCATGTCCATGCTGACAGGGGAGAGATCTGTGTTGTTTTTCACACAGACCTCTCCCCTTTCACTGTTTCTCAGCGATCGCCAGGTGCTGGCAGGGAATCTCTGGCGGTGCGGATAGGGCGGCGCTCGCCTGCGTGTGCTCCCCCTACCCAGAAATGCAAAATCACGTTATATATATATATATATATATATATATATATATATATATATATAATCTACACACACACACACTTGTGATTTTGCGCAGCCCTAGTGCCCTGTAACAGTAGTTCTGCTATAGGGCGGTGGGGGGGAACCGGTTAATTCAGTTGTCAAAACATCAACAAAAACTGCACTGCAACAACAAGAATAGTTTTTCTGTAATTAATGCTTTATAAATTGTCTTTACAAATTCATTCAGACTTATTCAGTAAGACAGTGCAATAATTCTAAGCAATTGTAAGTACTAATTATAAACATTTTGTATCCAATCGAATTTCAGCTTACTGTAGTCAGGCCAGGAAAAAATTATTCTGATATGGTTGCTCCCCTTTTTATATTGTTCTTTCCTTATTGAATAAGCCTGTCTACATGAAGATAAACTGTAAGGGAATATTGTGGTTGCAGGGGAACCAGGTGTCTTCCACCCAGATGATGTCAATCAAATGTTACGTTTTTGCATCCATGTTTGATGTCAGGACCAGTAAAATGAGGCTTATAACAATCCAATTTGTGATCAGGAATTATGATAGGAGGTTTCTAATAACAACACCGACACCGTTGTCATAAAATGGATGTTTAATCCAAGCAAAGGTCCAGGTTTTGCTTTAGTGTCACTTTATGAAATTACATGAGTTATTGCTCCTGACAATTATTTCCTGTAGTTTCAGAGTGCAAAATCTGTTTGACAATAAATCCTGGAAGCTGATTGGCTTCTATACAGAGCTGCACCAGATTTTACACTCTCCAATTTTAGTAAATTAACCTCTAAATAGCTAACAGGTGCATCTTCTGTAGTGATATCATGGTAGCACAAAAATGGCAAATCTGTATAACATTATCCACTTCACTTCTCTAGTACAAAAAGCAAAACAATTTGAAGAGATGGCATCAGAATACTGCTCATATGTTATAATGAGCTTATTCAGAAAGAGTAAGAGCAAAGTACAGTAACCAATAGCAATCACAATTGTTCAGTGCTCTGATTTCAGTAAGTTGAAATCTAATTAATATTGATTACAGGTTGCTACAAATTTCACAAAAACAGCATTATTGGTAACATTTCCACATTTGAGTTACTAACTATGTACAACCACCACTGCAGTTAGGAGTGGCCCGTTCTCTTTTTGATATATGACGGAGAGTAGTAGGGAACACCCTTGTTGTATGGGTCATATCACACTAATGTCCTACCAGTACAGTTAGGAGTGGTCCCGTTCTCTTTTTGATATATGATGGAGAGCATTCGGGAACACACTTGTTATATAGGTCATATCACACTAATGTCCTACCAATACAGTTAGGAGTGGCCCGTTCTCTATTGGATATATGATGGAGAGTAGTTGGGAACACACTTGTTGTATGGGTCATGTCACACTAGTGTCCTACCAATACAGTTAGGAGTGGCCCCATTCTCTTTTTGATATATGATGGAGAGTAGTCAGGAACACACTTGTTGTATGGGTCATGTCACACTAGTGTCCTACCAATACAATTAGGAGTGGCCCCGTTGTCTTTTTGATATATGATGGATAGTAGTCAGGAACACCCTTGTTGTATGGGTCATGTCACACTAGTGTCCTACCAGTACAGTTAGGAGTGGCCCTGTTCTCTTTTTGATATATGATGGAGAGTAGTTGGAAACACCCTTGTATGAGTCATTTCACACTAGTCATTTTTTCGATAATAACTCCCCATTTCCATTTGTTGTTCCACTGCTGGGCGAATTGAATGAATGAGCCATTGCTGGCAAGTGACATTCTGAAGTGTTTCTGCCAAGGAGCAATGTGTGGAACCAAGTGAGTTTTTATTCTGCTCTGTTGAGCGCTCCTGTCACTAACAATTTGGTGTTAGCAAAAGGATATCTAGTGTTACATGGCCCTAAGAGGAGCGATACTTCAAGGTTGGAGACCTCGATAAATGTAAAAAGTCAGGTGATCAAACCCCCCCGCTTTAACCTTTACCTAAAATATAACTTTTATGTGGACTGCCCCTTTTTTAGCTTTTAGTAACTTGAGTGCTGCTAATTAATCTGTGTGCTATCTATACTTAGTCCAGTTTCATCATATGTTAATGCAAAATCCAAAAATAATACCCAATCTAATGCAATAATCAATCTTGATAGAAGGGGTGAGCAAACATTCTGAAAAGCTGAGCTGGTGAAAAAGACCTTAGTCACTGTTGAATGCGAATAGCCAAAACTCCATCATGGCAGAAGACGGCAGACAAGTCCTTCAACTCGGTGTCACTCGGTATTTTATATGTTCTCATAAAGCTTCTTGAAACAAATCCATGTTCATCCATTCTTCTCCCGTGTTCAGCCTTGACTATGAGCCATCCTTCAAATATTTGAATGATGATGTCTTCTGGACGAAACTGGACCACATCCAGCAGGATCTCCAGCGGTTCAGAATCTTCGCTAGCTCCAGTGCTACTGTCCGAGTCTACCTTCCTTTCTTTCTCTGGATATCCAGGACATTGAGGCCCAGGCAGAGCATAAAGTGAATGATCCAGTTTAAGATCTTCAAGATTTTTCTCAGCAAATATCTCCTTGTACCTGACTGGGGTTTCTATCCAGTGTCGAATAGTGATTCCCTCCATGGTATACAGCTCAACGTTCAGCAAGAACAATTGTCTAACTGCTGAAATTAGAGACAAGGTCCACTGCTTACAATAACTCTAGCTTAAGCAGATATATTTATAGTGGCAGAGCTTTCAGTATCTATCCTGGACTGTTTTATAGTCATGAAGATTAATGTTATTTTTAGACAATATGTGGAAAGGTTTTTTATAGATCTAATCTGTTGTCTGGCAGAGCCTACTGTCCAAACTGTGGTTTAGTCTATCAGCAATTATTCGGATAATTGTTATGACTGATTTTATTCCTAGCAAAACAATAACCAATGTATTGTAACAGCAATTCCAGTCAACAAGTATAACATGACTGTGACCTGCAAATACATTTTGGGTAAATAATACAACTACTGAATTTAGACAGCATATGCACACATCTCATTCTTTTTTGACAACAGAATACAAAAAAGCACAATGCTCAGAACTTTAGCTTACATTTTCACTGGCTTCAAGGATCTTTAAAAAAAAATCAGGATGCTGGTAACCATAAGGGGCCTACTGCACACAGTTGGTGCACGAATAGAAGTCAAAGACACTCAGCAAATAGGTCAGTGAATGAAATGTAAGACCCAAAGCAGATTTCCTACCATGAAGTTGCATGATCAACACAAGCTTTTTCCTGTAGAATTAATCAAAAATCTAAAAGTTATCTGAAGACTACTGGGTGTTCAGAGAAAAACGTACAAACTAAATTTAAGGGCCCTTTCAGATTGTTGTGGTGCATTAAAGAGCATTCCATTAATGCAGCTTAATCAGTTAAATAGGCCGCCAATGCACCATAAAATGGATTTTCATCATTTTTCTAAGGCGTTGCACCACAAGTGGTAGACTAATGTGTTGCGGTGTGCTGCAATGCAGGTGCATTCAGGTGCCATTTAAAATGAATAACACTGTCTGACTCTAATGCTTGTACTGTGCATTGCCATGCATTGCAGTAATGCGGATATGAATGGACCATTATAAATAGTTCTTTCATAACTTGATTGATAAAACACATGATCACTGATATGAATGTGAGTCACTTTGATGAGTGATGTAGGAACGGCAAGCTGCTACTTGGCTGCTGCCTAAGACAGCCTCAGTTGCTTATTGTGCATACACTTTCAGCCATCCAAAGTTACCTTCACCACTTCAATACCAGGCACTTTTCATTCACCATTTTTTTTTTTTTTACATACTGTCAGCAGTGCAGTACAGCGTGATCATATAACTAGTTTGGTGATGATCAGGGACACTGACTGGTGACAGTATGGAAAAAAAAATCCATTTTTTTTTTTTTTTACTTTTTAACAGTATTTATTTATTTATTTCAGGTACTTATATAGCGCTGTCAATTTACGCAGCGCTTTACATATATATTGAACATTCACATCAGTCCCTGACCCTCAGTATTTTTTTTTTTTTTCATTTTTTTATAAAGCACTGTGACCAGAGTAATAAAATGTTACCAGAGTAACTCTGGGGAAATGATCAGTTTTTTTTTTTTTACATAATATGATTGGCGGGAACTGTTGTGATATACAAACTTTCAGCCATACTCTGCACAGAGATTTTCCAGCTCGCAGAAAAACAATTTAGGTACCAGCAGACTGACAGTGCCTATCATTGGGGCAGCGCAGCTGAGCAGGTAACCCTTTACACTCATACCACATGTTTTTACAGAAACACACACTTTTTACAGCTTAAGCTGTTGGGATTCTAAAAATGTAAAAAATGTCTGTATGTGGCCCATAGGTTGTGGCCCCAAACATAAATTATTCAGGGCATGTGTTTTCAGAAAACTATAACTCTGCTACCCTCTGAAGCACTTTTAAATAGGAAGCCTCAAGGATGCTCCAAAAATCAATTTACATGTCCTGATGGCCACAAAACAGATGTTTGTGAAAGCTTAGGTGTCAGATACTCTACCTATCTCTGAGACTGAGTATTGGATACAATGGTTCAAGATCAATGAGAAACTAACTGCCAAGCTCAAGGGTACAATGACTACATTTTGCTTGGTCTGGAACCATGGATGACTAATTTTTTTTGCTAGGGGATTTTGAACATTGCCTACTGGATCTATGATGATAGCATGGGCTGTGTCTTTTTCCTGGCCACTTACTCCCTTTCCCCATCCCCCCTTTCTATTTTAACACTCCTAGTCATCTTTTTTTCATACTTATCTAGCTCTACAACTTTTTCCTTTATCTCCACACGCTGTTTCAGTGGCATCTCTGTGCATGACAATTAATGTGTACATAACTGCCAGCTGGTTCTGACATGCCTATGCCTATTTTGTCTCTGATATGTGCAATTAATACCATGTTTGATCATTGTGCATGGCTGTCTGTTCACTGTTTTCTTCTGCTGTTTTTGCAATTGAAATTGACATAAAAAAATATTGAACAAGAAAAATGTATCTTTCCCTGATGTACACAGGAATGTAACAGGGTATCCTTCCTCCACTATATTATATGAGTACTTAGATGTATTTGCACTCTGTTTTGTGGTTGTTTACAGTAGCTTCTTCAAAAGGAGCAGAGTTCGTTAATTTCTAGTTAGAGAATTCAGGGATTTATCTTAATGATATTTAATTGTCATTTAATGAAAAGAAAAACAGTGCATGAAATATTTACAGAAAAGGTACTACATAACAGACATAGACAAGAGTAAAAATGGTTTTTAGAGTTTAAAGGTGAACAAAAGTCAAGTAGAGTCCACCTGGTCTTCGCTACATTCTATATATTCATAGGACAATGCTCCACAATCTGAAAACCAACATTACATTTATTAGGAGGAAATTATGAGTTGTTAGAGACCAAGCATGATACATTTCTGTTGTATATTTCTCCTAGGTGGTCTAATGTGTTTTACTAGCTTTCTACATCTTGTAAAACAGTTATGTTTGGGATCTAACTGGGTTGTGGTACTGCTTGGACCTTGAAGAAGGGGGTACACCCCAAAAGCTTGTCATGAAAAATTGTATTTTAGTGCAAATAAAAAAAGTATCATGGACGGTACTCAATTGTTCCTGTAGAAAGTGAGAATGGCATTGTGTTCAGTACCACTTTCCTATTCTCTTCATTCAGTTTGGAGTTCAACAGTCCTCACTATCATTACAGCAGTAACTGCCGAGAGTGCCGCAGGGAAAAGTTGCTGGCAGAGCAACAGAGCTACACAGGGAAGCTGCTGATGGCCAGAGCAGATGGCATTTCCACAAGGTATTGCCTGTGAGTCTGCTCTTCATGATTAGGCATTGCAGATCGCATGATCAAATAATGTCCATTGATTCATAGAGATACCCTACTGTATTTATGGCAACTCTTAGCAGCTTCTCTGCACAGTTTGAAGAAGTAAAACTTTGCAGCAAGGCAAATAACTTCCAGATATGCCTGAGAAAGACTCAAGTTATTTGGGGAAGGAAAGGGCTGTGGTAGAAAGTAAAAAGTGGAAGAATGGCACAAAACAAACAAAATAGTAGTAATAAGGAGAACAATAAAGGATATGAGTGCTGTTCATTGTGACACTGCTCAACTTTGGATCCTGGATAGGGTATCCAAGGGTACCCTGGGCCTTTTCATGATCCAAGCAATGCCCTTGGCCTGTAGATTTTTTTTCTAATGGATACAGTCAGTTACATGAGGGAGATCCAAATGGAAAGAACAAAGAGGCTTCCTTGTGTGAATTTCATTTTTTTGTCTGAGTTTCTTATAGTATTATAAGTTTTCTCTCCTATTAAAATTTACTAGGATGTTTAAACTGACATACAATTATGAAACTGCCTAAAGGAGCCAGTAATACTGTATATAGTAGGGATCTGACATTCATATATGCAGAGTGAAATGGAAATGTACTCTTCTCTATTATTAGCCATCATTACCCTTGAATTATTATGCCTGACAGTTTACTAAGTCACCTACATTGAGCCACTGGTCTTCCAAGAGAAACTAATACTGTTAACCATATGACATGAAGTATTTACTGTATATATGTCTGCTGGATTCTGGACATACAGTGTGTGCATGCAATGTTTGTGAATACCCGCTGACAATGACATTAACAAGGACTTCGGGCAAAATTTAAAGAATCTGACCTAAATATGGAGTTTTTACCCAAGTGCACATTTTCTTTCTGGATTCACTGTATGGAACAATATTCGTACCTGTACAGGGGAATTGGATTTGTTGCAAGAAATTCTCTGTCCTTTGAGCAATAAGCTTTCCATTACATTAAAAAACAGTTCTGTCCCCAAAACTCACAAGACTGCATATTTACTATAAATAAACTGGTAACTAACAAAGCTACTCTAAGGCCCTTTTCACACAAAGGGTCTGATCAGGTCTGCATGTAAGTTTTTCAGGTGGACCCTATTTAACAGTCTATTCGTCCATAAGGAATGGCAGGTGTAAAAAGACTTGTGTACGTTTACACCTGCTTACCTTCGATCCAATCCAGTCCACTAAAAAAAAAGAAAACAGAAGATCAGTCCTCCTCTATTTAGGAGGAATGGATTGTAGGGGTGTCAGGTGTAAACGGACAGCTCCCATAAAGCAGAGTTGGCTGTGTCCCTGTCCACTCTGCATAAACTGAGCAGACAGGGGCCTGGCATCCACCCACTATGCACAAATCAGTAGACAGGTCCCCTGCTGATCCAATCTGAGTCCACCCCGTGTGAAAGGATCATTTGTCAGAGAGCATTTGACAGGTGGTGAAGAGGTGTTGTATCACCTCCTCACCACCAACTTCAACCCCTTGAACCCTACACTAACAAGTCACAAATAGATGCATTGCACACAGTTGTGGTGCTACTGCAAGGTCCCCCTATTCAGTTGAATGGGTTTGCGTGCAGTGGGGATAATTTTTGCCTTGCAACTTTGCAAATCATCACGGCCATGGCATATATACACCCCCTCTGCTGTCTTTGAAGCTAAAGGGGCAGAGTGGCCGGTGATGGTAAAACCACAGCCCTAAGGCTTATGGTTCAC